AAGATCGCAGAGCCCAGCAGGTCGAGGCTGCGGTGGCTGGGAGCGGCCACTGCCCTCCAGTCTGGGCGACAGAGCGAGACTCCGACTCAAAAAAAAAAGAAAAAAAGACAACATTCCCGCCTGGCGCTGACTGCTCTGACCAAGATGGGTGTCCCCACCGATCTCTTCCTGATTGTGAAGAGGTTGACGTGACCCCCACAATGGATGCCACCCCCAGCTGCGAGGGGCGAGGGCAGGCCAGTGTCACACCCCAGGAAATCTGAGCGTGGCCCAGTCACCCACACACTGTGTTCTAGAGTGAGATTGTCCAGTAAGAGAGACCAATGCCGACATGGCAGCCATTCTAAACTTTCCTTTTTTTTTCTTTCTTACAATGAGAGTTTATGATCTTTCCTTTTCTTTTACTTTGTTTGCTTGTCTGAGTCAGGGTCTCACTCTGTCTCCCAGGCTGGCGTGCAGTGGCGCGATCACAGCTCAGCGCAGCCTCGACCTCCTGGGCTCAGGCGATCTTCCCTCCTCAGCCTCCCAAGTAGCTGGGACTAATGGCATGTGCCACCACGCCCGGCTAATTTTTTTTTTTTTTTTTTTTTTGGTGGAGAGGTGGTCTCACTGTGTTGCCCAGGCTGGTCTGGAGCTCCTGGCCGCGGGCATTCCTCTCGCCTGGGCTTCCCAAATTTCTCATGTTGAACTTGAACTAGAGAGTCCTTTCTAAAAGCCTAGGGAGAGACAGGACTAGGGACGTGAAAGCCCCCTGTGGGCTTGACTGGGGGGGCGCGCATGGCACCGACCGTGGAGATGAGCACCACTGCGAGCTCAGGGGCTGTGTGTAGGCTAACCCGGGCAAGCCGCTGTGGCGGGGAAAGCCCCGAGGCCGAGCGGACGGGGCGAGCCTCTGTCCCCGTGCAGGTGGGCTTTGCGGAGTCCAGGCGACAGGCGGCCAGCAGTCAACGCCGAGCCGTCTTCGCAAAGACCCGCTGACTGCACGGCGGCCACGAGAGGGCGCTGCGGCGCTGCACTCCGGGCCGCGCGAAGCCCGCGCGCCGAGGAGGGGCCGGCGGGGTCTTCGTCCCGGGGTGGGGACCGCGACGCCAGCAAGGCCATGCCCCTCTGAAGGCTGCAGCCCCCCCGCCCCACACACAAACACCCAGCTCTGCCAGGGGCTCTGAAAGCGCTCAGGCCCACCTGTCCAGATCCCCTAAGCCACGCCCCCCCCCAAAAGTAGGGGTCTGGAGAAAATTTGGAAATCAGTTTCTCAGTTGGGTGCGGTGACTCAAGCCTGTCACCCCAGCACTCTGGGAGGCCAAGGCGAGAGGACTGCCTGAGCCCAGGGGTTCGAGACCAGCCTGGGCAACTTGGTGAGACCTCGTCTCTACAATAAACAGATAAATAAAAACAGGCCAGGTGTGGTGGCACGGGCTTATAGTTCCAGCTGCTTGGAAGGCTGAGGAAGAAGGATCGCCTGAGCCCAGCAGGCCGAGGCTGCAGTGGCCATGAGCATGCCACTGCACTCCAGCCTGGGCGATGGAGTGAGACACTGACTCAAAAATTAAAATTAAAATTAATAACTGAAAAAGCACTTGGCCCTTTTCTCTGAAAGTCAACAACAAAATAGAAAAGGATTTAAGAAAACTCTGGGCTGGGCGCAGTGGCTCACGACTGTAATCCCGTCACTTCTAGAGGCCAAGGTGGGTGGATCACTTAAGCCCAGGAGGTCAAGCCTGCAGTGAGTTACAACCATGGCATTACACTCCAGCCTGGGCAGCAGAGCAAGACCCAGTCTCTAAAAATAAAACCTCCGGCAAGATATTCCTGGACGCCTTCTGGTCCTATTGGCCACTAACTTGCAGTTTCTACCCTAAAATCTTTTTTTTTGAATCAGAGTCTCACTCAGTCCCCAGACTGGAGTGCAATGGCATGCTCACAGCCACCACAACCTCAACCTGCTAGGCTCAGGCGATCCTTCCGCTTCAGCCTTCTCTATTTTTTTTATTTTTTTATTTTTTGGGGGGGTTGGAGTCTCACTCTGTCGTCCAGACTGGAATGCAGTGACTGCTCCCAGCCACCGCAGCCTCGACCTGCTGGGCTCCGGTGATCCTTCCGCCTCAGCTTTCCAAGTAGCTGGAACTACAGGTGCGCGCTTACCACACCTGGCTAATTTTTTTTTATTTATTATAGAGATGAGGTCTCACCAAGTTGCCCAGGCGAGTCTCAAACCCGCGAGCTCAGGCAATCCACTCGCCTCAGCCTCCCACGGTGCGGGATTACAGGCTGAGCCACCAAGCCCAGCTTGCTTCAGCCTTCTATGTAGCTGGAACCAAGGCGTGCACCACCACACCTGGCTAGTTTATCATTTATTGTAGAGACAAGGTCTCACCACGTGGCCCAGGCTGGTCTCGAACCCCTGGGCTCAGGCAATCCTCTGACCTCCACCTCCTAAAGTGCTGGGATGACAGGCGTGAGCCACCGCACCCGCTCTACTCTAAAATCTTAGAAGGCACAAATCCTCAGGAACTTCCTTGAAATCGACTGGCGAAGTCACCCATCCAAAACCCGGGCACAACAAAAGCAGGCTTCTCGCCAGGCATGGTGGCGTGCGCCTGTACTTCCAGCTCCTTGGAAGACTGAGGCGGAAGGATCGCCTGAGCCCAGCAGGTCGAGGCTGTGCTGAGCTGTGACTGTGGAGGCTGCTCTGTCAACTTCTCCTCCTGTCTGAGCGGGTTGGGGAAAGGGCTGTTTACTGGAAGGAGCTTTACTAGGTAAGGGAGACTCCGCTGCTTTCCTGGTGGGTGGAACAGAAAGGCTGTCCCAGGCGCACTGGTCAGGGCTCAGCCGTCAGGAGGACCACGATTTGCTTTTGATCTTGCAGGAAGGCGTGACCCAGGAGTGAAAGTGGCACGGTAATGTCTTTGCCTTCTAGGGAGAGACATTCGGGGGAGGGGGAATAAACACGTAAACAATCTTTTTTAAAAGCTGTCCTCAGAGCCGGCTTGGTGGCTCAGCCTGTCATCCCAGCGCTTTGGGGGGCTGAGGTGAGTGGATTGCCTGAACCCACAGGTTCGAGACCAGCCCGGGCAACTTGGCCAGACCTCATCTCTACAATAAATCAAAAATTAGCCAGGTGTGCTAGCGCACGCCTGTAGTTCCAACTACTTGGAAGGCTGAGGCGGAAGGATCACCAGAACCCAGAAGGTCGAGGCTGCGGTGGCCAGGAGCGGCCACTGTACTCCAGTCTGGGTAGCAGAATGAGACTCCAACTCAAAAAAAAAGAAAAGAAAAGAAAAGAAAAAAGCTGTCCTCGGGTGGGGCACAGTGGCTCACGCCTATAATCCCAGCACTTTGGGAGGCCAAGGCAAATGGACTGCCTGAGCCCAGGGGTTCGAGACCAGCCTTGGCCACTTGGTGAGACCTTATCTCTACAATAAATCAAAATAATTATCCGGGCATGGTGGTGCGCACCTGAGGTGGAAGAATCGCCTGAGCCCAGCAGGTTAAGGCTGCAGTGGCCATGAGTGTGCCACTGCCCTCCAGCCTGGGTGACAGAGTGAAACTTCTACTAAGAAAAAAAGAGTCTCAGGAATTGAGTCCTCTCTCTCCCTCCCCTACTGCAAGACCCTGTCACAATGCTCCTTATGCAAAAATAAAAGACAGATTATTTTTAAAGTGAGTCTCATCTCCTCCCTGTCTTTCAGCCACACAACTGCCTCTCCCTAGAAAAAAATTAATGTTATCCAATTCGCTTCTAGCCTGCCACAAATATTTGATGCACAGATAAGCAAATAAATATGTATGTATTACATGCATTTTTCTTTATTATATAATATTAAAGTTGAACTCCTAGAAAAGTGGAAAGATAAAAGCCCCTTGGCCGGGCTCGGTGGCTCAGCCTGTAATCCCGTGCATTTGGGAGGCTGAGGTGAGTGGATTGTCTGAGCCCGCGGGTTCGAGACCCGCCTGGGCAGCAAGACCTCATCTCTACAATAAATCAAAAAATCAGCCGGGCGTGGTAGCGCATGCCTGTAATTCTGGCTACTTGGAAGGCTGAGGCGGAAGGATCGCCGGAGCCCAGCAGGTCGAGGCTGCGGTGGCCGGGAGCAGCCACTGCACTCCAGTCTGGGCGACAGAGTGAGACTCCAACTCAAAATAAATAAATAAATGAATAAATAAAAGCCCCTTTAGGAATTTAGCAAACCTGGCTAGACACAGTGGCTCACGCCTGTAATCGCAGCATTTTGGGAGGCTGAGGCAGGAGGAGTGACTAAGCCAAGGAGTTCGAGACCAGCCTGAGCAACATAGCGAGGCCTCGTCTCTACAGAAAATTTACAAATTAGCCGGGTGTGGTGGCACGGGTCTGTAGCCCCAGCTACTCGGGGGCCAAGGTGGAAGGATCACCTGAGCCCAAGAGGTCAAGGCTACGGTGGGCCAGGAGCGTGCCACTGCCCACCAGCCTGGGCGACAGAGTGAGACCCCAACTCAAAGGAAAAGACGAGGAATTTAGCAATTGTTCCCAAATGAAATACCTTGAATGAGGACACTCTCTTCATGCTCCTTAAGAGGCATCCTGTCTTTCCAGGTGAGAAAATTGGCAAATTCCAGGTAGCTGATCAGGCCGTCGCCGTCCATGTCACAGTAGTGGAACAGCTGGTCCAGCAGCGTCCTGTCCAGGTGCAGGCCGGCCTGGTCACACGCCTCCCGCAGCTCGGCCCTGTCTATCACCCCATCTCCCTTCTGTCAGACACCAAGAGGAAAAAGAGGGGAGAAGAGGAGACGACGATTATTATTCAGTTGAAGAGAAAGGACATCGCTCTGTCACACACATTCAAAGCATTTCCCTCCACATCCGCTTATGAGGAGTCACATATTTATATATCTTTTTGAGTCAGCGTCTCAATCTGTCACCCAGGCTGGCATGCAGTGGCACACTCACAGTCACCGCAGCCTCAACCTGTGGGGCTCAGTTGATCCTTCTGCCTCAGCCTTCCAAGTAGCTGCAACTACAAGCATGTGTTACCAAGCCCAGCTTATTTTTTAATATATATTGTAGAGACGAGGTTTTGTCCAGTTACCCAGACTGGTCTCAAACCCCCAGACTCAGGCAATCCACGCGCCTCGGCCTCCCAAAGTGCTGGGATGACAGGCTGAGCCACCGTGCCCGGCCAGGCCCAGGAGTTCAAACCCAGCCTGGGCAACATAGCGAGAACTCATCTCTACAAAAAAAATCAAAAAATCAGCTGGGCATGGTGGGTGGCACATGCCTGTAGTCTCAGCTACTCAGGAGGCTGAGGCAGAAGGATGGCCAGAGCCCAAGAGTTCAAGGCTATGGTGAGTTGTGATCGTGCCAGCGCACTCTAGCCTGGGCAACAGAGTGAGACCCTGACTCTAAAAATAAAAATAGCTGGCTGCAGTGGCTCACGCCTATACTCCCAGCACTTTGGGAGACAGGGGTGAGGAGATTGCCTGAGCTCAGGGGTACGAGACAGCCTGGGAAACTTGGCGAGACCTCATCTCTACAATAAATCAAAAAATCAGCCGGGCATGGTGACACGTGCCTGTGGTTCCAGCTACTTGGAAGGCTGAGGCAGAAGGATCACCTGAACCCAGCAGGTCAAGGCTACAGTGGCCGTGACCATGCCACTGCCCTCCCTGGGCAACAGAGTGAGACTCCAAATGTAAAAAAAAAAGTTAGCCATGTGAGGAGGTGTGCACCTGTAGTCCCAGCTACTGGGAAGGCTGAGGCAGGAGAATCACTTGGGCCAGGAGGTCAAGGCTGCAGTGAGCTGTGTTTATGCCACAGCACTGTAGCCTGGGTGACAGAGTGAGACCAAAAAAAAAAAGAAGATTCATTTAGAAGATCGTAGCCTATGTCTTCTGTTTTGTTTTTCCATGAAATGAAATCTGGGCATCCCATATTATAAGATTCAAATAACCAGCCATGCTGGGTCACATCTTATTGCCCTCTCAAAAAAACACAGCTCCTTGAGGACACTGGACACTGCACTGTGCATATTAAAAGCTAACTTTTTTTTTTTTTTGAGTCGGAGTCTTACTCTGTCTCCCAGACTGGTGTGCAGTGACCGCTCCTGGCCACCGCAGCACCAACCTGCTGGACTCCGGTGATCCTTCTGCCTCAGCCTTCCAAGTAGCTGGAACTACAGGCATGCGATACCACGCCCGGCTCATTTTTTTTGATTTATTGTAGAGATGAGGTCTCGCCAAGTTGCCCAGGCAGGTCTCGAACCCACAGGCTCAGGAAATCCACTCACCTCGGCCTCCCAAAGCGCGGGATTACAGGCTGAGCCACCGAGCCCGGCCAAAAGCTAACTATTTAAAAGGTGTATCAACATTAAATAATGCTCAGCCATTTCCTCCCCGCTTAATTTAATTTTGTCATAAGGAAGTGGCTGGTGGTTTACGTAGATAATCAACAGCTATTAAAATGATCATCTTAGCCAGGCTCGGTGACTCAGCCTGGGCAACTTGGCGAGACCTCATCTCTATAATAAATCAAAAATGAGCCAGGCGTGGTAGCACGCGCCTATAGTTCCAGCTACTCGGAAGGCTGAGGCAGAAGGATCGCTGAAGCCCAGTAGGTCGAGGCTGCGGTGGCCGGGAGAGGCCACTGCACTCCAGTCTGGGCGACAGAATGAGACTCCAACTCAAAAAAAAAAAAAAAACAATTTGAGTCGTAGCAGGCTGTACGACCTGTAAAACTGAGAATATTTACTATTTGAGCCAGGTGCAGTGGCTCACACCTGTCATCCCCGCACTTTGGGAGGCTGAGGCGGGAGGATCCCTTGAGGCCAGGAATTCAAGACCAGGCTAGCAACATAGTAAGACCTCATAGCTGCAAAAAAAAAAAAAAAATCAGCTGAGGGTGGTGGTGAATGCCTGTAGGTCCAGCGACTTGGGAGGTGAGGTGGGAGGATTGCTTGAGAGCCTGGGAGGTCAAGGCTGCCTCAAGCTAGGATTGTGTCATTATACCCCAGGCTGGACAACAGATAGAGACTCTGTTTCTTGAATTAAAAAAGAAAGAAAAGAAACTCAGTCTCACTGAAGAAAATAATTGGATTTCATCTAAGTTTATAGCTTGTCTCAATCTCATGGATAGCGGCCCTGGACTGCAGACCCTCATCTGCTGTCCCTGATGGACCCGGCCTGCTGGGGTCTGCAAGCTCCCACACCACCCCTGAGTTCTGCCCGGGACTGGCCTTGTCATAGTGCCTGAAGGCTGCCAGCAGCGTGTCGAAGTGTTGGTGGATCACGGTCTTCAGACGGTGGCGCACGGCGGCAAGCTGGGCACGCTGCCTGTCCGAGCCTCGGAGATACTCGCCCGGGAGCCTGCTGTGGATCAGATCGCCGACGCCTGCCAGAGAGGGGAAGGTCTTTCATGGGAACTGAAATATGCTCCAATCATGAGTATAAGAGACCCAGCCCCCAGAGCCATTTCTTTTCTTTTTCTTTTTTTTTTTGAGTCAGAGTCTCACTCTGTCACCCAGGCTGGAGGGCAATGGCACACTCACGGCCACTGCAGACTCAATCTGCTGGTCTCGGGCGATCCTTCCGCCTCAGCCTCCCAAGTGGCTGGAACTACAGGCGTGTACCCCCATGCCAGGCTAATTTTTTTGATTTATTGTAGAAATGAGGTCTCACCAAATTGCCTGGGCTGGTCTCACACCCCTGGGCTTAGGCGATCGTCTCGCCTCAGCCTCCCAAAGTGCTGGGAAGCAGGCATGAGCCACCGCACCTGACTCAGAGCCATTTCTAAAGAGCAGAAATCTGAAACAGGAACTCTGGCCCTAAGAGAGGGATCCATGGCCTACCTACTTCACTCTGGCAATCAAATCTAAGCAGGCCAGGCACGGTGGTTCATGCCTGTAATCCTAGCACTTTGGGAGGCCGAGGCAGGCAAGTGACTTGAGCCCAGGAGTTCAACACCAGTCACAGCAACACAGAGAGACCTTGTCTCTGCAAAATATCAAAAACTTAACCCGGCATGGTGGCGCATGCCTGTCATCCCAAACTACGCGGGAAGCTGAGGCAGGAGGCTCGCCTGAGCCCAGAAGGTTGAGACGAGACCCATCTGGGCAACATAGCAAGACCTTGTCTCAACAAAAAAATGTAAAAATTAGCTGGGCATAGGGGCGCACAGCTGTCACCCCAGTTGCTCGGGAGACTGAGGCAGGAGGCTCGCCTGAATCCAGAAGGGTGAGGATGAGGTGAACTGTGATTGTGCCACTGCCCCAGTCGGGGTGGCAGAGTGAGACCCCAACTCAAAAAACAAAAAAAAGTTGAACAAAATACGGCCTCCTCCACAGCTGCACTCTGCAACCAGCACGGTCCACCCATCCTGATGCCTCCTGGAGGTAGACACAGGCCACAAACTCTCTCCCAAGGGATCTTGACGTAATTGACAACTCCAGACCCCAGGACCGAGGCGTCCCTTGTGCAGCTGCCTTGATTTCCCCACATAAGGGGAAGAAAGAAATCCAGGCCTAGCCCAGTGTGGTGGCTCATGCCTGTAAGCCCAGCACTTTGGGAGGCCGAGGCGTTTGGATTGCCTGAGCCCGTGGGTTCGAGACCAGCCTGGGCAACTTGGTGAGACCTCATCTCTACAATAAACAAAAAAATTAGCCGGATGTGGTGGCACACGCCTGTAGTTCCAGCTACTTGGAAGGCTGAGGCGGAAGCAGGTTGAGGCTGCGGTGGCCGGGAGCATGTTGCTGCACTCCAGTCTGGGCGACAGAGTGAGACTCCTATTCAAAAAAAAAGAAAAAGCCAGGCTCGGTGACTCAGCCTGTAATCCCACGCCTTGGGAGGCTGAGGTGAGTGGATTGCCTGAGCCCGCAGGTTCGAGACCCTCCTGGCCCACTTGGTGAGACCTCATCTTTACAATAAATAAAAAAATTAGCCGGGTGTGGTAGCGCACGCCTGTAGTTCCAGCTACTGGGAAGGCTGAGGTGGAAGGATCGCCGGAACCCAGCATGTCGAGGCTGCGGTGGCCGGGTGCGTGCCACTGCACTCCAGTTTGGGCGGCAGAGAGACTCCAACTCAAAAAAGAAAAAAAAGAAAAAACTCTAGGACTGACGTGCCCAGAGCAGGCGAGTGCTGGAGCCCTCACAGAGCAAATGCCAGGCCGAGCCCACCAAGGCTGTAAAAGGTAGGAACCCCGAGCGCAGCGCTTCTGTGCCTGTCCAGGAGAAGCAAAAAAGCTTCCGAGGGGACTGACTTTCTCCTCGCTTGGCTACAGCGCACACCCAGGCTGGCACTTAACCTCGCCTATTGTTTTTTTAATTATTAACATCAGGGCCCTGTCTTTTCATCATGTAAGACTTTTCAGCCATCATTTAATGTATCAAGATGATGCCCGTCAACTATCAAAAAATATGTCAGGCCGGGCACAATGGCTCATGCACTTTGGGAGGTCCAGGAGGGAGGATTGCCTGAGCCCAGGGTTCCAAACCAGCCCGGGCAAAATAGCAAGATCTCACCTCTGCAAAAAAAAAAATTTTTTTTTAATTACCCAGGTGTGGTGGTGGATGCTTGTCATTCTAGTTACTTGGGAGACTGAGGCGGGAGGATCGCCTGAGTCCAGGAGGGTGAGGCTGCAGTAAGCTATGTCCACTTCAAGTCTGGGCAACAGAGGGAGACCTCGATTCTGTTTATTTATTTATTTTTCTTTTGCGTTGGAGTCTCACTCTGTCACCCAGACTGGAGTGCAGTGGCCACTCCCGGCTACCGCAGCCTCGACCTGCTGGGCTCCAGCGATCCTTCCACCTCAGCCTTCCAAGTAGCTGGAAC